GTTCTCTCCCTCCATCCCCTTCTCTGCTCTTCCTCATCCTCCAAACTCTCCTACCCTTTCCGTTCGTTTCTCGCTTTATCCCTCCCTTCACCATCTCCAAGTGTTTTTTTTTTTTGCTTCTCTCTTTTCTCTATCACGAAAAGCTGTAGGTATTTGTACATTGATACATTGAGTCTGCAACCTCCTGATTGCAACATGGAACGCAAAGAAACATCTCTACACACATACATATACAAGATGGTCAACGTCAGAGAAATATCTTGACTTACACACATTACGGTACTTACATACACACAGTCGGTGGGGTACACACAAAATATGAGCGTCAATGTGTGGTCATTCGCCCGCATGCTGTCAATCAGACAACATAAGGACAGGCGATATGAGTCAGACATGAACGGGCCGTCCAATCGGCCATGCGCTGAGCCTGAGTGCCATTGCCGTATCTGATCTGATCATTCTGATCTTATCTAGATCGGATCAGATCTCAATTTCGCTCCAACTTAGGCGTGAGAGCCTATCAGTCCTCACGTCTAACATATAGGTAACAAACTAGAGCAGTGTCCCGGCCTGTGTCCCAGTCGTTTCTTCCGGCACCCTCGCCGGCATGATCAAAGTCTGGTCCCTGAGCGCGATATTAGGTGCACACGTTGACCTTGGAGTGAGTGGCCTTAGTCCTCAGGTGCACGCGTTGACCTTGAAAGTTGAAGGTGACCTCGGGTGCACGCGTTGACTTTGGAGTGACCTCAGGTGCACACGTTGACCTTTCAGGTGACCTCAGAGGCACGCGTTGACCTTGAAGGTGACCTCAGGCGCACAAGTTGACCTTTCAGGTGACCTCAGACGCAGGCATTGACCTTGGAGTAGGCCAGTGACTCCATGGTGTCGCTGTCTCCGTTCAGTCTCCGCAGCTGGTCTGCCTGGAGGGGTAGAGGGCGATATAGGTGTCAATGACACTGAAAGTGACACACAGAGTGACACAGATGTCAGTTGCACAGGCAGTGGTACATGTCAGTGACGCAGGAAGTGATACAGGTGTCAGTAATACATGGCAAACAGATGTCAGACGTTGACACGCTGGGTGACACGTAGCTTGACACAAGTGTCAGGCCAGTGATCTTGCCGGCCAGAGCGGCAACATGTTGAGCGACATTTATTAGTGTAACGAATTGGGGTGAGCTTGACAATAAAATGCATACTGTATGGGGAAGGGGCAATAAGAAAAAGTATTGTCCTTTGTGACGCCACTGTATAGCCCCCGACAAGCATTATTGCCCTCGGCTGCGCTTAGGGCAATAAAGTATGTTTCGGTCTTCAATCTTGGTGACAGTGACGTCACATCGAGTAATAATTTGTACCATTTACCGCTACCCCATACAGTATTCATGTAATGAAATTCAGTGAAAGGCCTTGCGCATGGAACCTACGCAGTCTTTTCATCTCATCATATCTTTTGTGTTGCTGCTTCGTTTTTGCTCGAAACTGCAATCCCCCCCCCCCCCCCCCGAGTCAGGATAGGTAGTTTAATTGCACAAGTTAGAGTGATTGACACCGAATAGGTTGGCGAAATTTAAATTTGGAATGGAAATAAAATATTTTAAGCCGCAGGCCAACTATAGCTGCAGAAAGTTTGGACGGCGTGGGAGACTTCGACATTCATCAGTACATATAGGTATGCAATTTGCTTTGGACATTATTGTCGCCTATCGGTGAATTATTTGAAACATCAAACAAACGACAGTGAGTATAGGTGCTGACTAACATACTGTAGATGAGGGGTGCGGGACAAACCTACGTGTGTAATCTACGTGTATGGATAAACATTGAACACATATATTGTCGTTTGGGCTAGAAGTGCTTTCATCAGATGTACCACACCAACGCCGTAGGTATTTGTTAAACATTCACCGATTTTAAATGTAAGAAAAGCAGCGCCGAGGGCTACTCGCTCTGACAAATTGTCAGCCTCATTAATCTGTGCTAATAACGCCATGCAGCATGCAACATGATACTAGACCACTAAGTACCAGGGCTGAAGTATTGCACTGCACAGGCAACGTGTCATGCAATCGTCGGGAAATCTGTCCTGGTTGCATGAAACATTTGAAATGGCAGCATTTTAAACACTACTGCGTCACATACAGTGCTAGCTTATGACGATAATGTCCCACAGAATTCATCATGAAATATGGCAAAATGTTTCGAATGTGTTAAATGGTATATGGCAACTGTCTGGCTTGTTGCGATGTTGCATGATGAAAACGAAGCCAAAGTGGTACAAAAGTGCTTTCCGATCGATCAATCTACAAAAATGCTCGCCATTACTAATCATAACGTCTGTCTTACGTAACAGCTTCAAATATTGTGGAATAATGAGAGGGTAAACAGCAGCGTGGACGTGTGATAAAATGACGAACCATTTTCTGGTTGTTTTACGTCTGTTTCGTTCTGACCATGTTCTGACGTTATTATGTATAATAGGGGAAAAGGGTAATCCCAACCTAAACTGAATGGTTGATTTTAAGGTCAGTTACGACCGGGGCATTTGGAATGGGATACATCAAGAATCTGTAACCCAGCTTAGATAGGTATACTCATTACTCATGACCGCTGAAGTATTTTAAAGTGCCTCTTCATTTTTCTTCAATTATCTTACGACATGAATTCTTAAGCCATCTTTTATACTCACTCAAGTGTGATGCATCGGATTCATGCATTTTTTATCTTTATACCTCGTGCGCAATCCATAATTGTCAGTGCTGCAATAAAACAGGTGAGGCGTTATCGGCCTACTGATATTTTTTTTTCTCTTGTTGCGGTTAAGTTATAATCACATCTCTTTCATGAAAGCCCGCTTTAATAAGAAAACGTATATTGATAAGGCATACTGGAAAACTACATACGTACCATATCCCCTGGCTATACGGTATTCAAATCCACTGGCTTAACTTGATTTCATAAAACAACTCTCTGATCCACGGGGTGTGCGCCGTACAAAACGTTACATATGCTACTACGCATAATAATCTAGCGCACTTTTGAACTGAAGTGGAAAGTCGCATCCAATTCTGAGAACTAAACCGGACAGTTTTATAACAGCTAACTGGTTGAAAATAATGCATGAAAAGACTTTTGGTCTGGAAGCTGTTCCAGGAAGCTACAACACACGACAAACGTGACAAACGTGGGTTGCATAACGTCAACGTAACTATTTATGACAAATTCAAACTGCATCTGTACAACGTCTATACCACATGTGGTCCTTGCAAGGCTGATCATCCTACGATCAAAGCTCGTAGGGCGGCCATGAAATTCTCGCATTACTGTCAGACGGTACGTTTATGATTGAACAGAAAGGATGTCTGAACGATTTATTACTTAGTGCTTATGGTCATTGTTAATGACAAAAATATGTTTTCTAGATATAATAGCACCAATCCTCCAGAAAAGGAGGGCATGAATTTCTGGTCGTCCTTGTTATATGGTGGTATACCGATATGGACATATAATTTTTGCTGATAGATCATTAACGAGCTAAATGATTTAGCTCGATTACGACTGGCATAATATGGCAGTCCCACTGCGAAGGGCAAGGTTCTGCATAATACACAATCAGATAGCAAGCGGGCTAATTGTCTTCATTAATTATTCATTGTTCTCATTTTCCAGTCCAAGTTGTTCCTTTTTACGTTATAAAGCAGTAGAAAGAGGAAGATAATAGTCGTTTGAGCCAGACATCTTTCTTTGCCTGACTTGTATGTACAGCTTTGGCAGGCAGCGAGCTCCATTTCGCTGCAGCCACCTGAGTCTTACGCCAAACTTCAAGAAGAAACTTCATTTAATTTTCAACAGTTTGTGTTGTGATGGCTTCCGTAAGCGGTCAGTGCTTGTTGGCTTAGAACGGTCAGAGCGAACTTGGCACCGCTATAACAATGTGCCCAAAGAACCGATTTACCTGAGCTCATCAGAAGTTTCATAATTTGTTCGGGAGGCACCTCGCTAAACACCGGCTTAACTTAACGAAGTTGGTTAATATATTGTAACCCCTAATTATTTACAATAAAACCGTTCCTCTGTTATTCGTCAGAGACGATCGGTTCTTTTACAGTAATGAATTGCTTACAACCTATGATCGCATTCAAGACCAGCCTGGATCGGACAAAAGTTGCTACACCATGGCTTTATTCAGTTGTTCATCAAGAGGACGGGGTACGGGAGTTGAGGGGGGGGGGATTATGTGCCGATGATAGGGAGTGGACGAACAGTACAGGACTTCCTTCGTCCTTTATCCTATCCCAGGGGGTAGTACATAAGTAGTGCCTTTGGAGTTATGCTCACCTTTGCGGCTAAAAATGATATCACAATCGTATCGCACACCTCTTTGTGTAAACATCCATCTGGTCCTCGGGCAGACCATGAATCGGCGAGATAAGGGACTGTTTGTGTTTCAGTCCACGTTTGCCGAGCTCAGGTGCTTTAGATAGCGTCCTCGCAACCCCCAATGACAGGCAGCGTGATTTACAAACCGGCAGCTTTTGAAGGGGATTGACCTGTCTCGCATTCGGTGTGGGATCCGGATTCAAGTGTGGGAGACTGGGCGACGGTTACAGAAGCCCTGGGGACCATAGGAATCTTTGCGAATGGGTCACACTATCCACGCGATGTAAACGAAAAATGAAAGCGCTTATGGGAAAAAAACATTAATGGAAAACACATCAGTATGTGTGATCTATGATCAGTACATTTATCATTACGTGGTTTTTCTGCGTGAACTCCACTGGGGTTAGGTAATATGTTTGTAAGAAGTAGTTTAAAAGACATTGCAAAAAATATCAGAGGCACACTTGTTATTATTAATGGCCATTGAACATTGCAATGCGGCGGTTACACAGGACGAAGCTAGATCAACAGCATGTATACCGATTGCCCGTAAGGTTATAGTAAGTTCCAGCGCCCCATCACTGTTATCTGACATCCATATCACTGTCATCCTCCCCCCCCCCACGCCCCTGCTACCGCACGTGCCTGCAACGTGCCTGCACGTGCCTGAATCCCTTCATTTCTCTCGCGCTCCTCCGCCGCTCAACGATCCCAGGCATCCCCGAGACGCGGAACTATAGCTGCCGCGGTGCTAAATTGGGACACCAGAGCCGAGATGAGACCCGCAGGAGGTGCCAGACGCGGAGGGGATGGTATGAGGACGAGAACGGAGACCGCGGGAAGCCAAGCAGAGCTAAGGCACGGAGACGGGACGGGGACTTGCGGAGACTTGTGCCGGAGATGGAAAGGAGGCCCGGAAAAGTGGATACGGGACGGAGACGGGACGGGGACTTGTGGAGACTTGTGGCGGAGATGGAAAGGAGGCCCGGAAAAGCGGATACGGGACGTAGACGGGAAGGGGACTTGTGGCGGAGATGGGACGGAGAAATAACGGAGGCGCTACGGAGCCGGAAAGGAGACAGGACGGAAAAGGGAATGCAGTCGGAACGGAGACTAGACGGAGGCGGAACTTAAGACGAGATGGGACGGAACGGAACAAATTTGTACATCTCAGCGGAGGCAAGTGGCAAGGTCATCGTCGAAAGATCAGACGTCACGACGGTCACTGTTCGACGAAAGACAACTGTCTCAGACTCAACTAGACGACTGAGAGTGTCGTACATCACAATTCGACTGACAAATTTCGACGAGACAGACGGACGGACGATCGAGCGGTTATATCTGATGGAGTGTGCCGATAGATTGCGTCCGGGTCAGTGCCGCTTTTGGCTGACCTTGCTCCGGAAATCCAGACAATCAATTTGCAATTGAAAGATTGAAGCGAGCTGGATGTAGGGTAATGATATGCATTTGTTTTCAGTCTGAGTGTGGATGCACTCAACATAAATGTTGAATCACTGAATATACTCCACAGTCTGTATGTCATACAAAAATAGCATAACACATAACAAAATGTTGGGCAATCTGATCTGGAAGCGAACTTTACACCACAGTGGACCATTTAAAATTTAGATCTCTCAGATTAGGAAGTCAATCTAATCTCTATTCTCTGTGCAACGGGCAGTGTATCAAACATAAGCTGCACACAATGAGAGAGGCTCGCTGCCCAGGACCACCCAAAGCTGATCGATCCCGAGAAACGCTGAAAGGGAGCTCATTGGCTAACCGGGGTACTGAGAACACATCAATAGCAGAGAGCCCATGGCGGGCTATGGGCTCCCCAGAAGACTGGGAGACTCAGCTCTGGACATCGAACCGTCAGAAATGGCTCATTTCGAAGAAATGCACCCATCGGCGGTCGAGGTCAAACAATAGTTTTTGTTTGTCAAGCCTGACTTCAGAACACATAAACAACCACGGTTTTTCAATGTATTCCCAAATAGTTTTGAAAGGACTTCATATACCTACCTAAAACGAAACATAACAAATAAAACAAAATCATACATTTTTATCAGATTTTGTCAGATTTATAACTAACTGGAAAGTAAAACATATGAGCATTAGCACCCTAAACACAATTATTTTGACTTTTGTTACGGAGCGAGCGAAGCGAGCGTAGTCTTTCCTTAGATTAACGGAAATTTCTGAGTATAAACGGCCGGCCGGCCGGCCGTGGTCACGCTTTTGCGAGGCTTATAATATCTCAGCAACCACTTGACCGATTTACACGCGGTAATTTTTGTAGGGTAGCTTCATTCCTTCTACCAAGTATTGGACTATTCCTGATGCATGTGGGTGACCCCTTATGCACGTGCCACCGGCAAAAAGAAGAGGTGTCCGTGTTGTAATTGTTGCAATATCTCGGTAACTACTTGGCCGATTGCGCTGAAAGTTGGCATGTAGGTAGGCACCCACTTGGCACTGTACATATATCCATGTGCCAGAGTTGGGGTGCTGCTGCGCGTGCGCACGTGCAGGGGTCGTTTTCAGATCTCGAGAACGGCTCGACCGATTGCGCTCAAATTTGGTACACAGTTAGGGACCGGTTAGTAGGGTGCCGTGCACAAGTCAGTTGGGACCCATTTTGCACGTGCGCACGTGCAGGGTGCCGCTTCCAGATCTCGAACGGGTGGGCCGATTGTGCCCAAATTTGGCACGTCGCTAGAGACCGGTTAGTAGGGTGCCGTGCACAAGTCAGTTGGAGGTACCCCCTCGCAATTTCGCACATGCAAGGCCCACCCTCTCGCTCGCTCCGTTAGTCGCCCCAAAAGGCGTTATACTGGTGTTAGCAAGCGCTAACGCCTTTCCGTAGTTTTTCTTTGTCAGTTTCAAGTTCGAGTTCCCACTTCTGCTGACAACATCAACATTAGGACCTCCAGTAACCGTTCTATAAATAGCCGGCGTGAGAAACTCGACACTCTCTGTGGAGGCCACGACAACAAGGGGGTGTGGCAGCAGTCGGTGGAAGACGGTCACATCTTCGGAATGAGGACGGAGGAAGTTTCCTTTAATGTCAGCGGAGGAAATCGGCTGATAACGACATGTTGGTGCTAACTTTAAGAGATACTTACGGTGAGACGGGGATAAAAAATAACGCATTGCTACCAAAGAATGAAGTACGAAACGTTTAAATGTTATTTTCTCTCGGTGTATTTTTGCATCGAAATGCTTGGAAAACGGCGGCAAATTAAATCCACATGTCGTTTAACCTTCCAGGCGGTGGGGGGGGGGGGGCATTTTTTTGCCCTCCTCTTTAGTTTTTTCAATATATCTCGAGAACCGCTGCGCCGATCGTCACCAAACTTTCAACACCCTCCCGGGAGTAGCTAGCGCACATGGTGACCAAAATTTTTCCAAAGGCTATGATAGGTTGGCCGCTAATGACGTCAGAGTGACGTCAATTCTGCCATTTTCGATCCAAAAAAAGGTTTCGCGGGAAGAGCTGTCAGGCCTACAGCTTTAGAGATACAGAAAAATGTTTCAGAGATAAAAGGTGTGGAATTAAGAGGGCTACAAAACTGCTGTTTCGGTTTTTCGAATTTATTGGATTTTGACCTCCAAAAATAAAAAATAGATTTTTTGAATATAACAGCCGAAAAATCCAAAAAGTTTTGAATTTCGAAAAACCGGAACATATGTGATATTCCCTACCACCTTCTATCTACATACCAATTTTGAGATCGATACCTCTTTTTTTGGCCAAGTTATAGCGAAAAAACTGTTCAAAATTGATGACGTCAAATTTTCAAACTCAATTTTTAGCAATTCTAGACCTCGTAATGCAAAACAAAGACCACCATTAGACTCCCCGTGACGAGCTGCATCGAATCAATACCCATTTTATGCAAAAATATCAACTTTGAAATTTGACCTTTTTTGACCTGACCTTGACCTGACCTCCACCAGAAAGTGACCTAAACCGTACCTGATGGTCTTATAACCAACACCATTGAGTTGGAAATGAAAAACTGGCCATAAAACATGCATCGCACAACCTTAGTAAAGTTGGGTTCATGTGGTGACCCTTGGTGACCTTTGGTGACCTGACCTGTGACCTGACCTGGTATGACCAGTGACCTCTAATAGCAACATATGTACTAGACAACTGACGCCCTATCGCTGATTTTTGACAAAATGCGTTTTACTCGGTGACCGGTGTTACAGCGCCTTCCCTAGAAGCCCCGTGAACGGTGAAACATTTTATCTTTGACCTGACCTGTGACGTCATCGGTGACCCCGAGGTCAATGAAATTTGGTTTCCTTCAACAAATTTGACAGGGCTATCACACGCCGTTTGAATTTTCCGGATCCGTCCAGTAGTTTCGGAGATACGAGGGGGGCAAAAAAATGCCCCCCCCCCCCCCCCACCGCGCGGAAGGTGGCCGGGAGGCCCACCGCCTACCGGGTTAATGCATAAAATGAGGAAAAAGAGATTGATGTTTAGTTTAACCAAATACCAGACATGACCATTGGAAATAACTTATAAAAACTTCTATCCAGAAATCATCATATTGTGTGAAGCGATGTGTAAATAATTTATTTATTTATTTATTTATTTATTCAAATAAATCGCCAACAGGCTCATGGCCCATTAACAATTAATTGCAACCATTAGACACGGGGCGCAAAAGGCAAACGAGTAGCAGCATCAGTGTTGAAGCAAATCAGGTTGTTTCAATTAATAATCCATTGACAGTACAGCTTTGAATGGATGCATTGCCATTGTCGATTAATAACGTGCTTGTTTGTTATCTCTTTTAGCTTCACAAGTTACCACGGCAACTCCAAGCTAAGCTTCTGTGGTGGCGCATGGTGGCGCTAGCCATTGCTGTCACACTATACTCAATGTGTTCTTTACGACATTGGCCAATTGACATTGATAATCGATAAATTGGAAACTCGAACTACGAAGTAAAGGAAAACGGAGCACCTGAGGGGCCTCCGAAATTGGTGAAAGGTGTAAAGAGCTGTACCTAATTGGTTTGCTTTTACAAATTTCGACTGTCTTAATTGCTTGAGTTCAGCTTAGCAAGGCAAAGCCAAGCAGGGCCAGGGTACGGAAGACGAATTTGCCGGATCCTTGATTTACCTATCAGTAGAAACTTGACTATTATACCAACTATTACATCCTCACACTGCCTAGATCGATGTTTCGATTGCAAAAGGTATTTTGTGTATGTAAGACATGCTGTCATGCGCGTTCATTCCAGCCTGTTTGCGGTTGTTAGCCCTTTTAATAGATGTAAATGCTGAAAATGCTTGTTAATACATTTACGACGAATATGCATGTCAAACAGGCAGCAAAGAAAGACGACCACGAGCATAACATTATTACTTCTGCATATATCTACCCACAACTTGTCAAGTTGAAACGATGCTCAAATTCAAACAAATAAATGCTACGCTTGCATAACAAATATGAATCATTAACTTGCAGGGCAGAAGATGATGAACTAGTCAACAGAAAAGTAATCGCTGTGGCGCTAAGCCACAGCTGATGGCAAGCCGGAGAGGCGACTAGCCATACAAAAGAGAACGAAAGACGAAGCTGTCTAGGAACTCACACCATGCGCCGGAGCCGGTCGTCGGATGGGCACCTGAGCTCGTGCAGCACGCACCGACCGCTGACCGGCCCGCTTCCGTACCGCGTTCTGTCGGCTGAGGTGGCTGGCGCGCCGCTTCTTCAGTCGGATGTAGCTGAACAGCAGCAGGTTGAAGAATCCGCCCAGATTGGTGAACGTGGTGACGGCCATGAAGAGCTCGAAGGGCGGGTGGCCGCGCATCGCCCACGCGCCGTACAGGATCATGGGCAGCCACTGGGCGAAGAAGGAGACGATGAAGTAGGTGCACGTCCAGGCGGTCTTGTTGACCGAGCGGCCGAGCTGGGTGCGGCTGCCGAGCTGCTTGCGGTTGTGCTGGTCGGCCACCCGCAGGCGGATCACGGTCACCGCGTAAAACACCAGGTTGAACAGACCCACGCCGATGAGGAAGATGGTGGTGAACGCCATGAGGAACAGGCTGCCCTTGATCGGGTCCAGGTAGCAGAACGCGCCGCTCGGACCCAGCTTGTCCAGTGCCCACGCCACCGCGCTGAAGAGCACCCCGGGACCGAGACTGGCTGCCAGCGGGCGCCAGTCGTGGCGACCAAAGTTGGGTGGCCGCAGTCGAAACACCATCAGACACGCCTCCAGCGCGAGGAAACAGACGAGCACGTTCTGCGCGATCACCAGCACCGACAGCGCGAACCCGAAGAAGGCGCACAGCTGGCGCGGCCGCACGTGGTCGCGCTGCGCCAAATACAAACCGTGGTCCATCATGTGCGTGAGGTTGAACAGGCCGTCAAAGACAGCCATGTAGATCAGCACTCGATCTCCGGTGGTCCAGGCGTAGAACGCCGACATCCGCCACTGGTTTGCGGCCAGCGTGAGCACGATGGTGGCGATGGCGCACAGCAAGCTTCCCACCAGGCAGATGATGGCAGTCACGTGGATCATGTCGAAGTGCCCCGTCTGCAGGCCCTGTACGGGCAGGTCGTACCCGGAGGACGGCACCGGGGGCGGCGGAGGTGTCGGCACAGCCACCGTGCTCGATGGCGTGGCGAAGATGGCCATGGAGGAGACCAGCGCGGCGCGCGAGTCGCCTACCATCGAGACGTTCATTCGCGGCTCACGCGGGGTCACACGCGGGGTCAAACCCGGCGTCACAAATGGTGTCACCACACTCCACAGATCGGGTGGTCCACAGTCGGGTGGTTAAAATCGGCCGTCGCGTATCACGAAAATCTCAGTCGGCACTGCTTCACTTACCGCGGAAAACATCGCTAGCACCACAATCCTTGTTCGCACGATACGCGTCTTTGCGGACAGCTATGCCCGGAATCACAGGACCCTCACTGACCCGAGGTCAGGCGCCTGCCTGGTCCGCGACACCGCCCGCATCGGTCGCCAGAGGTCAGAGGTCGCCGGGCGCCCCACCGCTGGCTCGCCGCGGGCGGTCGCCGCCTGGCTCCGACTGAGGACCTGCTGAGCGGAGCCCGGAGCATCTGGCGCCCTACGCGACTGCGCGCGCCGCGCCCCACGCGCCGGCGGGGGGGGGGGGGAGGGGGGGCTGTCAACAGATCCCACACCTGGCACCCCCTCCCATCCACCCCGCCCCACGCGGTAACCAAGTGGGCACACATAAGGCGGCTTTAACTAGCACACAACGTGATCTACAGACCTCACGGTTGGCTAACTGCCAAGGAAAACACTGCTTCAACGGCATAGCGCAGCTCTGAGTATCGCTCGCGACCGTCCTTGGAGAATGTCTCCTAAAAGCTCTCGATTGCATTGCTCTGTGATGTGGGTGCTTCTGTATGTAAGGAGCGCGTCTTGAGCCGTCGATATCTGAGATAGACACTGTGATCGGTCGTCACGCGCAAAAAACTGTGACCGATAGCGTCACCGATTGAAGAATTTGGCCGTATCGGATCGAGTGCCTTCCCCGCCAAGATGCTAGTAAACGAGTCATAAAGAGCATTTGAGCGTCATAGGGTCGGCAGTCGGTGAATTGTTAGTGGGGTCATCACATGAGACTCATGTAAACACAGAATCAGAAACCTATTCGCCATTTTGAACGCGAGCAGCGACATATTTGCTTCTAGCATCATCGTAAAAACAAAGCAATTTAACCCTCGCCGGCACAGGCTAATTTGCGTCCTTCGACGGCACAAGTGGGGGGGGAGGGGGAATGGTACGACCCCCCTCGCGCTTAGCCCCTGATCGAGCTAGAGCTTCACGGAAAAAAACGAGCGTGTTGCCCGTGATGAGAGGAATCCGATGATACCCAATTTTAAGGTCCTAGCCCCAAGGTCAGCGGCTGACCTACCAGGTCAGGTCAATGACCCAAAAGTCGGAAAAATCGGGACCTGTTAAAACGTCTTAAAGTGTGGCGGTCATGGCGTTTTCGGGGTGCTGATCACACATATCATGTTAGTTTTGATTACAGATGATATCTTTATGCATTTAGGCCTGCAGGTCGGGTCACGCCAGGCTAGGTCAACCAGTTGGGGTCCTGCCGGATATTCGTAGTAGGTACCTACCTACGTGTCAACCGCCTCTAACAGCTTCGTAACATGTTACGAAGGCACCAAAACTGCTTCGTAATTGTTCAAATGGCTGCTAAAATCGAATTCAGCTCCAAAACTAGCCTAGAAACACATAAAACTCGAAAAAGTGGACCGAGGCCATCAAAAGTCAATGACCTGACCTGACCTTCAGCCTTCAGGTGACCTTGATATCCACTCTAATGCATGGGAGCAACATCAAATCACATGTTTGAACTCTTGAAACCAGGAAAAGACTGCAAACGCGCGGCTAATGCGAGCCGACATACGCCGAATCGCGGTTCCGGCCAACATGGTCTCAGAAAGTAGGTCACAGGTCAAAGGTGTTAAAGGTGTCATTTGGGTCAGGACCATGAAATTTTCAGAGTAGATGTAAAATTGATCAACGCCAGGGTACTGACAGTTTCGTCGCGATCGGCCACTTTTTACGCGAGTCAGTTGCGAAAAACCTTAGGGGGTGTTGCATCAACCCCCGTGCCGGCGAGGGTTAACCCTAGCGAGCCGAGGGGAGGGGGAGGCACCCCCTAGGGTTTTTATGAAAACTCGGAACACGCCGGCGATAGAGAACTGAAATCTGGCATACCTGATCTTTGATTCAATCCGAATCTTTTGACAACGGCCACATTTTCAGGTCAGGTCAGCTCACTGACCTATGACGTCATAAGTAAATTTCTGTATGGTCCTGAAATGTCGCAATTTCGCAATGCTCTCAGTGCCAGAGGACCTTTCACAGGGAGATGAAACTCACAGGACCTAATGAGTATGCTTGAGAGGTCTCACAACTTTCCTATCTCGGATTGTTCTTAGCGTCACATGAGGTAAGGTCGGTCACGTGACCTCGCCGTAATAAGGCAATGAGGAAATATGAAAACAGTTATTTCAGCGACGGGATGGTAATGACCTCAAACTGTCTCAAGCACAGACACTCGAGGGTCCGTGCACTCTTTGCAAGTTCCGATGCTTCGTTTTGTATTTTTGACCCTGCTTGGCGTCATTTATGACTTCACTACGGTGGGCGTAAAATGACCTCGCCGTCGGCGCGCCCCTAACCCCCAACAAACAACCAACAAACAAACAGTCATACGAGCTTTTCATCAATAACACTCAATCAAATTCAGCTAGCGAGTCAGGAAAACCACCAATGGACTTGGAAAGATCTCCCAAATCGAATCATATGCTATATGACCTCCTTCGACCAACTTCGTGACCTGAGAGGCTCTGAACTTACCTTGACCCCGACACGAGGTCAACACCTTAAGTTGACCTCACTCGAACAAAAAGTATATCATTCGACGCACCTCAGCAATTAGAACACAATTACGAGTATGCCAAAATTGCGACTCTGCGATCATTTTTGGCGAAGTTATTTCCCAAAAACCGAACCTGTGCCGCCTTGAGCCTCTTGACCTGACCTCAGAGGTCGCCAGTTGACCTAAGACCTTAAAATCGGGTGCCAATCGCTGCGTCTCGTAACAGCACACACGCTCGCTTTTTCCGCGAGGTTTTAGCTCAATTAGAGGCGAAACGGCGAGGGGGCGTATTTAGAAAACCAATAGGTCCGGCGAGGGTTAATGTACCGCAGATAGATTACGGCAGGGTCATAGTTATCCAACATAATACGAGGCTGAACTTGTCTTGTACAAAGTTTAATTTCCTATCCTGTCGGCCGTGACTCACCAGCCCACCAAAAGCCGCACCAGTCAGCTCCGTGGCCTACATCGGACATCATACAAAATACATTTACATATGCCGACCTCCACGACAGCACATGGAGCACGATATTTATTTGAGTTCCGATGCTTATGTATCGTTCACTGTCAATCTTGTTGTTGTTTAAAGCTAAATATTCATCAGGGTACACGGCTGGCCAATCGGTGAAGTGTTTTGATGCCACCCATGGCGTCATTGCAGACGTCAAATAATCGCATCGGGTTTCATGCTGAAGCTACTCTGCTGATTAAGTTTGCAGCCACAATGTTTGTTTGTGAGGTGCCAGGCGTCAATACTGATTGTCTCGTGTGTAACTGAATGCAGCGTGGATCTTGGCGTGGATGATACAATTACAAACACTAAATAGTATCATCGTATTTCTTCGCGTTGTACATGCATACCTACACCGCCTACAGATATTTACATATGTATTATGTATGTATGTAGTGCATATATTTTGGGCCTCTCAGTGTCCATGCATCAGAAAAATGATATTTCAAGCGTTGTTGATTCTTTCAATGGAGTTGGAGAGAAAGAGGAGAGAGAGAGGGAGAGAGAGAGAGAGAGAGAGAGAGAGAGAGAGAGAGAGAGAGAGAAGAGAGAGAGAGAGAGAGGGAGAGAGAGAGAGAGAGAGAGAGAGAGAGAGAGAGAGAGAGAGAGAGAGAGAGAGAGAGAGAGAGAGAGAGAGAGAGAGAGAGAGAGAGAGAGAGAGAGAGAGAGAGAGACATAGACCCGGGAACAGGGGGGGCAGCGGGGGCGCTTGCCCCCCCAATTTGGGAGCCGAGGGGGCGGCGCCCCCTCAACATTGAGGTAGCGAGAAAAGATCTTTCCTCCCTTTTCCGGACTTCTTTCCTTTTTGTTTCCTTTATACATCTAAACATCAACACACGGCATTTTCCTTGCCATCTGAATGGTTTCTGCTGATACAGTATCGATTTGACAACATCTGCTATTGTCATCCCGCTTTCATTTGGGCCTGACCTTGGCCATAAGTTTGGCAGGCCAGATTTTATACTGCACCAGCTTGAGTCAACTTTGAGAAATACATAACATACAACGGTGGTAAAATCGTTGCTATAGGTATAACACAGTTTACCCGCTCCGGGTGTGATGGAGGGGTGTGGGGCAATGAGTGCACTGACGTGGCGCCCTCGGAGGGCCGGTATGGGATTAAAGCTCAGCGACACTAAGGGCTTGTGTGGTGCCTTCGGTTATCGGTAGCACCCTCAGATTCACCGGCGTAGGGCCGTCAGAGCCGCCGGTAAGGGGCCTTTAGAGGCACCGGTGGGGGGGGCCGCCATGCAGGTGCCGGTGTGGGCGCTCAGAGGTGCTAGTGTGATTCTCTCAGAGGTGCCGATGAGGGTCCTTACAGGCATTGCTGTGGGCCCTCATAGACGCTGGTGTGGGGCCTTTAGAGCTGCTGAGGCTGACGCGAACTCTCTACAAGCCGGCAGGGGGTCTCATTGACCGGCAAGGGGTCCTTAGGCCGGCAGAAGAAGTCCTGTGGGGTCCTTAAGACCGGCATGGTACTGTCAGACGCCGGTGGGGCCCTCAGAGTCACCGGTGTGGGGCCCTCAAAAGTCACCAGTGGGTGGCCTTTAGATGCGCAGGTGTTGATTTGGTCCTCAGAGCCGCCGATATAGGGCTTTAATAGGCACTGGTGTATATAGGCACTCAGAGTTGGAGGTGTGAAACCCTCAGAGACACCGGTGTGGGCCCTCATAGGCGCCGACGAGGGCCCCACAGTTGCCGTTATGGGGCCCTCAGAAAAATAAGTGTGGGATCATCACAGGCGGGAATTGCCCCTAGAACTGGCCCCTCATAGGCCGGTAAGACCTCTCAGAGGCCAGTAACGGGCCTTTGGAGACCACCGAGGGGCCCTTAAAAGCCGCAAGAGGCCCTGAAAAGCCGGCTTGGGCCCTTATGGAGATCTTAGTGTGGCTATTTAGGGCCCATGAGGTGCTCTAACGAGCCCCATGGGACCCTTCTGAGTAGAAATATGGCCATCGTTAACCCTCAGCGGTCAAATGGCGCCGCAGGGCGCCTCGGACCCGAGGGTCCCTTTTATCCCGATGGGGGGGGGGGGGGGGGGTACGTGTCCCCTTAGACCCCTAGCTACGCCACTGTTTCATATGCATCATATCAGGCATTTTAGGCTCGCCCCCCCCCCCCCAACTTGAAAATCGTTCCCGGGCCCCTGGAGAGAGAGAGAGAGAGCATGGGTGGCAAGGAGATACCTATAATGTATACATATATGCTCATCCTGTCAGTATGACTACGATTGCTACAGCACATATGCCGTAAATAAATATGCTACAGCCTGGCCATCCCGATGTTCCTCGATGTGATGTGATGTAGTTACTAACAGCATCGCATCTTTCCACTTATTCTCGGACTTGTTGTTTGACGATCCAAAACGGAACGGTTCATCCCACCGAAAAGCAAAAAATATGTGTTTACACGACGGAAACGTTTGCAGCGAACTTTGAGATACAGGCGACCGTTTAGACAGACAGAGCGGTCCACGACGTAGTCATGTCAAATGTTCATGCAGAAAGCACAGAGCATCAGCCACATTGTAGGATCGTGGATTCGTGATACAACATGCAGAGCTGTATCATTATCTGGAGCTTTGTGATCCTCTCATTAGTAGGCCGGGGATAAGTCTAGGAGGATCACTCAGTAGATTGCCTGGAAATATGACCGTCATCGCTGTGCTCTGCTGTTTGTTACTTTGGTCGGCCCTATTTGGCATATCCATGCTGGCAACCGACCGAGGCAATCCAAGAAGCCACTCCCAGCGCGCGTTCAGTAAACCTCATCCTGGCGCCCGAACAGCCGTGGCTTGTAGGCCGAGGCAGCAGGCAGAGAGCCAGGCGCAATGCCGAGCACCTGAGCAGCAAACTGTCAACGGTGTGAGGCCCTCGATTCGGCCGGCAACAAGTAGAACTGAATTCACGTGGGTCGCTCACACACCGGTCCAGCTAAATGACGGCCTGGAAATTGGCTGAGGCTGTTAGCTCAGCCCGCTGCAGCGCGACTGATGAAGTTTGCTGGCTGCTAAATGAGGTGACATGAAATCTAGTTTTCTGAACGTGAGTCTGGAGCACGTTCACGACTCTACCGCAGGACGGCCCTATTTTTAGGCCAAAAGACAAGTTCTTAGTGAAGTAGGCGACTTCGACCGGCCGCCTCACGAGTTGCGTGGGGTGCCTAATGAGATGTCCCTGTTTGGGAGAGCCAAGACATCGGATATCCTGTGACGCTGACGTCACTGGTGACGTCCTTTGACGTCATTGGTCGCAGAGTTAGCGTCGGGATGAGCCTGACCGCGAGCCTGAACTTTAGGTAAATAACATCTCAGGTTTTGCTGCGAAGCTTCAACCGTTGACTTGTTTTCAACACGTAAGCTATTTTCGTACAAAATATGATTGACTTTTAAAGATACAACTAATACTTTCTTATAATGTAATAATGAGAACGGTGCTGACCATGCTTTGAACTTACCCAATTTTCAATTGACTATAACTTCATTAACCCTCCCCAGCTGGGGAGGGGGGGACTGACGTTTATTTGTGATTACTGTGAACCTTTGATTCAAGCCAGATCTTTTGACACTAACCAAATTTGCAGGTCATGTCAGGTCACTGACCTAGTGGGTCATAAGTCATAAGTGTCATAAGCGAACCTCTCCAGGGTCCTAAAATGTCGCAAGGAGTAACTTTGCAACGCCTCAAGCTGGGGATTCGCAATGGCATGAAACCAGAAACTCTTAGGAGTTCAAAACCTCCCGAGTCAATAAGCTTTCGGATTTAACAATCTGACTGGACTGGTATTATGTCTGTCAGGTCCTGCGCCTTACTACGAACGACAAAACAAAACTTCGAGATAAGTCTCGACGGGATGAGTCCAGTAGCTGTAGCGACTGGCCGTGGCGCATCTGTCTTTGGTTAAAGGGACCCTCCCACCTTAACATTAGATTTGAGTTGAGATAGCCAAAATGGGGTCCCTGGCTCACAATTACCGGTTTCGGCACTCACAACATCGAGAAATGCCTTAAATCGGAAATATTGAATTTCAAAATTGCAGCATTTTGATTCAGAGGGGCTAATGCATAAGAATACCCCTCTGAATGTGTGACGTCAACGCAGATATCTAACGATTTTTAAATGTTTGACTAAAACGTTTTGTAGCACGCGGTGGTATATGCTGCTTTGCGCGCAACAAGTGCCGCACTTTCAGCTGCCAAACTATTGCTTCCAAATAAAGTCGCTAGAAACAGCGAAGATCCCAAAAAGTAAACAAAAGTAAAAGTCTAATATTTTGAAAATCGGTGAATATTTTTCGGTGAAATTTGGTAGATATTCGTTTTCGCTCTTTCTGAACCGAGCGACATCACTTTCATGCCAATTCATAAACTTTTTTGAAGGTGGGAGGGTCCCTTTAAGTCAGCCCAATATGTTCCCGTCACCCCCGTGTGCCGTAGCCCCTGAAACAATGTAAAAGGCCCGACTGGCGAAAGTTTGAAATAAAATGACTCAGTTACGACTTACATGTCCCACCATGGCTCACGTTAGGGGCAATAGGCCATGCCTTTACCATTAGGACTCAATTTTTGATTTAGATAACACTTGTGGCAGTGCATGGACAGATTTGAGCATTTAACCGCCGGCCCTCAATTTGATTAGTAAGACCCAGTTCTCCCAAAGGCGCCATTCAATCCTATCTGAACTGGGTCTGTGAGTGCAATTCAGATTCTACTGGAGTCAATATAGGTAGGTAGGTAGTGGTACACTCGGGGGCAGATTGATGTTCTACAACTCTTTATCCACCGGGTTCCTATGGCTCAGCATTGGCAGCAGCCGCCTGGTACCGGTAGACTGTGCCGCTTCACTTACTTGTCAAGCGGCACAGCCTACCCACCCGTATGCCACCGGTCTGGGTCGGTGGCTGGAAGGTGATGTGGGCCGCCTGTGACGTCAGCGCAGCGGTGAGGGCCGAGCCCGGAGGCATGGCTCGGGTCGGCGCGTCGCGGCGGCTGGCGAGGGCTGGGGAGTGAGGTGGGGTGGGAGAACGGACCATCGCGCGGCTGAGCAAGTTTAGTTAACTTTCGCGTCTCAAGGCGCCAATTATTCTACCTAACAATTGTGCTAAAGCAGTTGTTAAAATGTCCTATCCCCAAGACAGCGCCTATCATCATACTTGCCATGCACATTACGACACACTTAAGCGTGGCAATGGGACAGCCGATAGAACTTATGTCACTCGTGCATCGAGGTGCGGAGCTATATTTTGTATAACATATTAGTATTAAGGCCTTGATTGAGCAGATTGGTGTCTATTGTTTCGCACGGCAATCGTCCAGAGACGTGGGAACTGGGAGTTATGAGTAGTGCCGCAGCCAACGCCCCAATTTAAAGCGATTATTACTGTTGCTCTAATATGTGTTCGCAGCCCCCAATAGCAAACCGTTCCAACTAGGAGCCAAAAAGTCGGCGACTCAGGGAGGTTCGAACCGGGCTTCTCCCACCGGCCAATTCACGACACGAGCGTTCATCCACTGAGCTACCGAGAATGGTCCTCGTCTGCACAAAACAAAATGAGATTGATCCGCTGACCGCCAATGACAGTATTATGACATTTGATCGCGTTTGACCGCGGCGGGTGGTCGCTGGTTTCGGCAGCTCAGTGGATACACGCTAGCGTCGTAGGGTGACCAGTTGGAGAAACCCGGTTCGAACCGTTCCAGGTGCGCGACTTTTTGGTTCCTAGATAGAACGGTTTGCTATTGGTGGCTGCGACCACACATTAGAGGAACAGTAAGAGTTGCTTAAAGTTGGGACGCCGCGCTATCCAAAAACCCCAGTTCCCACGTCTCTGGACGATTGCTGTGCGAAATAATAGACACCAAGGAGCTCAATCATTAATCAAGGCCTTAATACTTATTTGTTAAAAACAATGTAGCTCCGCAACTCGATGCACGTGTGATATAAATTCTATCGGCTGTCCCAATGCCACGTTTAAGTGTGTCGTAATGTGCATGGCAAGTATGATGATAGGCGCTGTCTTGGGGATAGGACATTTTAACAACTGCTTTAGCACAATTGTTAGGTCGAATAATTGGCGCCTTGAGACGCGAAAGTCAACTCCACTCGCTCAGCCGCGCGATGGTCCGTGCTCCCACCCCACCTCACTCCCCAGCCCTCGCCAGCCGCCGCGCCGCGCCGACCCGAGCCATGCCTCCGGGCTCGGCCCTCACCGCTGCGCTGACGTCACATGCGGCGCAGCGGCCCACATCACCTTCCAGCCACCGACCCAGACCGGTGGCATACGGTGTGGGTAGGCTGTGCCGCTTGACAAGTAAGTGAAGCGGCACAGTCTACCGGTACCAGGCGGCTGCTGCCAATGCTGAGCCATAGGAACCCGGTGGATAAAGAGTTGTAGAACATCAATCTGCCCCCGAGTGTACCTACCTAGTGGAGCGAATTGCTTTTTCTTGGGGCAAAATGGGAAGCTGGTGGGACAGGCGCCCCAGTCCCCACCAACTGTATGTAGGACCGTAGGAAGCTGCGTTCCTGTCTTTGCAAATGCACTGTTCTTATGATTTATGCATTTACCTACCTAATGTTTAGTGCTAGCTTGGCTGCAAGGAAATAATTAATAATGATTTACGTACCGCAAATGCAATGCAGAATGCTTGCGTTAAGGGCCTCGCCATGGATGAAGTATTCCTTATTCTAATCCATAGCCGTGTCCTAATCTATGAATGCCTAATCCATCACCATGGTCTCGTTATGATACCTCAGAGCCCCAGAGGGAGCGAACGAAGCTCAGTGCTGCCACCTGGGCCAAGAAGCTCGGGTGTCGCAGCGCCACCTGCAGCTCGGTTCATTCTTGGATTACTCAGGAACTTTTGCTGCTCATCATTGCTTACACATTTAAGCAAATAATCGAAAATCTATTTAGTTCTTTTTCTATGAATTACTTTCTTTTATTGACATCCCAAGTGCACTTTGAGTATTTTCTGTCTAACACCTTAGTTTTTCTTTTAGAAAACACACTATTTATACTTTCTGCTTCTTTGAGGCATTCCTAGCGCTGTTGACATTTAGTTTTTGCCTTTTGTTCGTTGAGCACGTGTTGAGCACGTGTGTTTTTGTCTATTTTTTTTTCGAATTAAAATATAAATTAGTCATCGCCTGCTCTGATCTTGATAAAAGGCTCCACTTGCTACCGTTGGTTTTCTCTGGGACGCAGCAAAATTGAAATATCAAAACATCGGATACGGAAGAAATTGAGGTAAGTAGCGAGCACATTGATGGTTTCCTCCAAGCCTATATCAATAAACCGTATCCACTTTCCAGTAATAGCCAGTATTAGGCACTGACTCTTGGTCATGCTGTCTCATTTGTTTGAGCTGAATTTCAATGAGTAATCATATTGGTAATTTCGTTTGAACCAGAGATAACATGTCTTGAATTGGAATACGGAATAACAAACATTTTAAAAATTATTTGAATTCTGACGGATCTAGTCCAAGTCCTAGGACCAGCGACAGTGGGCGGTGATTGTGATGGGACGGCTATTATGATGACGAATTGATCCAGTGCTCACCAGTGTAAACTGTAAGATTGTGCAAACTGCAAACTGCAAACTCACGAAACATTCAAACCATGAGCTGTGCCGCACTTCACAGATTGTTCATGCTGAAAGCCTGGCAGTGGCACTGAAATTTCTCACGGTGGTGGTAACCCACTCCGCTACCATACATCACTCTTGATATTTACGATAACTGCTCATCAGATCTGACATGGAAACGCGTCCTAACAACATGAAATCACCTGTTTGAACAATCACCGAACATCAATCCGTCTCGTTTGCCGTGCAATATGCTCTGATTAATATGTTGTACCCCATTGTGCGCTAATTTAGCGTCTCTCCTCGGTGAAGGGGTTGCAGGTTATCTGTTCTGCGGCCGTCCTTCAGCCGCCGCACCGACCGCGGCCGGGCATTCATACCTTACTTACGCTCTGAGAGGGGGCCGGCAGTGTCCTCCCCCCGCATTGTCGACCATAAGCCGGTCGCCAGCCGCCGTCATTATTTCCCATTACGGCCGCAATCGCGATAAGCATCCAAGAAGTCGACTGGCATTTGCATAGCAATCGAGGTCCATTACCGGCGCGTGGTATCTGTGTGCGCCGGCGGCCGGCGCGCGCGGATCGGTTTCAGCAATATCCGCCTCCCCCACCGCCGTGCGGTGGACGCGGCGGTGGCGATGCCCGGCAGTCAGTGTCGCGTCGAGACGGGATGGGAAGGAGGAGAGAGTGGGAAGCGGATGAGGGCGAAAGAGGTGTCACGGCTCGGGAATCGAGTTTGAATGCATTCAGCATTGCATGGCGCCTAGTGGTCATCTTGAAGCAGTGGATTATACAATATACAATTGTATATTGATAGAGACAAGTAGAAAAACACGGAACAAAGACGAGCTCGAATGTTTGTGTGCTATATCTTGTTTTCTCTGTGATTATGTCATGCTGATGAAGATTTAATAATCGAAACGCGTCCATGCACTATTTGTTACGTGTTTTTCTACAATATACAATATACATTACATGGGCGGGGTCAAGGCGGTAGGTGGGAGTATGTTTGACCTCAGAACACAGAACGGGCTGTTTGAGTAATTTCTGGTTGCAGATGTGCGTGTAGAATGTAGATATTTGTTTCATTAACTTTTTTGTGCACTTAACTGTAATAACATTACCACGATGTTGTATTTTTAATCACCTTACTGCTGCCATTTCATTTCTAAGTGAAATATGATGTACACCACACACGCATATTTGTCAGTTGCCCTGGTAACCTATTCGTGGTACGGTATTTGGAAGGACAGCAACCCCATGTAGTCATTGATCGTCCTCCGTGCACCTGCTAGTAAACCGACCTTCTTTCCACCCCACCCCGCCTCGCCACGCAACATGTCGCGGCCTTACGGCGCACCAGAGAGCACGTCCGGGCCTCACACGAGCCCACTGTTGAGCGCCGGCTCATCCATCCATCCATCCGCTCGTCCATTCATCCATCACGGGCGTGCAGTGGCCCCCCGCGGCGCGGCGCTGGCCGCCGGTCGATCCGACCCCGGCCGTGATTGCACTCGTGAATTGGTGATGAGCCGCCCCGTGGCCTGTCGTTGCCCGCCGCCCACTCGCCGACGATAGGCCGTGCTGGATGATGTCGGAGAATGCGACCGGATTCAGCGGTCAAATCGCCACCGGTCCGGTCGCTACTCGCTACCTGACATAGCCAGTGCGCGGTGCTGCATGGATATGTGCTCGTATGTAGCGGCGCGGCGCCGCCGTCCTGTCTCCGTCGCCTGCAGCCAGCGGCCGTCTCGTCGCCCCGGGCGCGACGGCACCTCGATAGCTCTGTGATTGGTGGCGGTCGCTGGGCGTCGGACGCGGCGGTGTATCATCGGTGACCACCGGCGCGGCGACCAGCGCCCCCCGCCGGCGCGGCGGAGCGTGGTACCCGTCCACTGCCGGTGGACATTACTCAGCGACGAGCGCCGCACGTGTAGCCCGCCTGGTGGTGGGGTCGTCATGCACGAGCGTACGAGCGTGCTGCCGTGGTGTCCGGCCGGCTGGCTGACCACGCCGGTGGGCTTGAATCCATGTCTGTGATTGGCCTTGTCTATGCTTACGTAGTCAAGAGATGGATTATGGGACGTTTTGCGAAGCCTCCTTTAGTGTATTGTCCCTATAAAGTTTGTTATTCATTATATATGTCAATAATCATCTGTAATATGTAATTCTTTTGATTTTTTTGGCATACCCAGGAAACATGATTGCGATGCCGACTAATCACATTTGTGTTTTGTATTCTGCTGCATATTCGTATGCGATGCGAGCACCTGGTTCAGTGCAAGCCAAACAGCTGTTGTGTCGTGTGTTCGTCGATAGTGGTGCCTGTTTGTGCCATTGTGGTGGCACGGGCAGGTGTTTTCGAGCAGAATGAGGCCGGACTCGGTAAATGAAAACAGCGGTGTCGCTTGGCGACCTTTCAATTGCATTGGGGTTTTCTTTTGAAATGTTTGAGCGTGACGCGTTATCGGTGAAGCTTCGATGCAGCTTGTAATTCACAAGTTGTGCAGTAGGGTGCAAAATGCAGGGTCGTGCTCGACAAAGACTGAATGCCGAGTGAGCACAGAGGAAACTGAGCCAGTAGTTATTTATCGTTCTGTATTCTGTCTATTCGATTTCCTTATAGCGGACATTTTCTGCGCTTCATATTGCCATTGTTACTGATGTTTCAGCCCGTCTTATCCCTACACCACAATGATTCAAACCAAGCCCATCAGACCCCAGCTCCAACTCCACAGACTGGCTCAATCAGACGACCGCTCCGTCGCCCCCGACGTTCGACAGGCGCCGGTCGTCTCCGGTCGGTGGGTCGGCCACGGACGACCCAGGCAGCGGCGATGGACGCACCGCCTGTTGCCGCTGTCTGTCTCATAAATACTCGCCGCCGCCGCCGCCGCCGATCTATTAATCAATAGACCGGGACGAACGGTAGCGGTGGCAGCGGTGGCGGTGGCGATGGCGGTGGTGGTACGGGTATGGGTATCGGTTGCATCATATGGTGTCATCGCTGCCATTGTTTAGCGAGAGTTAGAAAGGGGAAGACATTGAACAGGACTCAGTGGCTCAAAGCAATGCATTTTGAGACTAAACATGTGATGGCATAAAGACGAATATTTAATGTCGACGCCGTGTATTCACCTGGTGTTTCGTGGTACGCGTGCGTTTAATACTTCGCTAGTTTCATTCATTTCCAGTTTGTTTTCGGTGTCAGTTATGAGTGGCCCCGACACCAATCCGAGAGGCAGTTGTTTGAGCCTTAATCATTCTGTTGCAGTCTGCACCGTCGGCCACCACGGTTGCATACCTGTAGCAACAAAACCCGCTACCAACAAATATCGCCTGCCTGTTGGCTGTCATACCGGGGCATTGTGGGCAATGATATTACCAAGCGTTGCACGTGTGCATGTCCAACATACTTGTCGGCAGCCAATGACTGTGCTGCCAACGACATGATTGCGGATGCCTGTGTGATTGATGTTCTGTCCGGGTGGGCCCTGTACCGCACACGACTGCTCCTCCCCCGCTCGGCTGTGCCCATTGTCAGAGTGTCACTAACGTACCGATTATAGCGGCAATTGCTGTGTCCGCGAGTGCCTGGCACGGCGCGGTTGTGCGTGCTGCTGGCGTTGGTCGGTGCGTGGGGTGGGTGGACTGACTGACAGGGGTATGTTGTTTCAGGATGATGTTCGACTTTGGTGGCGATGATACGGAGGAGACGGCGGCAGCGACGGACGCCAGGCTGGGAGAGGCGGGTGACGGCGGCCAGACGAACGCTGTCAAATGGTCAGTGGATGGTGTGCAGTGGATGGATGGTGTGCGTGCTTTTTTTGCCAGGTTTCTAGTGTCCACACGAAATTTAAGAGTACCTACCGTGTATTGCATGCTGTAGGTCAAACTATTTTGATGGATTACGTTTTTCGGTCAGAGCTCACCTTGGGCATGAGCTATGGGATATCGTGGGGATCATGATATCTAGAGCCATGGGGATGGGAGTGAATAACATTTTTAACCAAGCTTTTTACATGTGCAGCTAGCCGATCAGCTGTCTGCCCAGCTCGCCGACTTAAAACTGCTTGCAACGCGACCGCCCTCACTGACAAGCCTTCCAAGTCAGAAGTAAACAGCGACGACGACAAAGTGACTTGAGCGTGGTTCATGCTACGGATAGACTCAGCACTCGAACGATCAGTCGCTGGGCTATTTGAACGTGAAATGAAGCATCAAATTTTCTGATAATCAAGCATTAACGGGACGTTGAATCGTGATTAGCGGGCCGACGTGACACGACGCGACACCGAGCCAGTGGGGTCCAGGGAAGGGGGAGGGGGAGGGGGGGCGATAACGAGAAGGGTGGAGAAGAACAAACAGAACCGCGGCGGCCCCGCCGTGGTCGGCCGATAACACGCGCAGTGTGAGCCGAGCCGCGGTGTACAAGGGGTGCGCGGAGTGTTTCTCGCGCGGCGCGCGCGACGAATGCGATATAAGTGCTCGGTTTGGTGTACGGAATAACAGGACAACATCAACGGAGCGACAGGAGACGGACGCATGATGGCAGGTGGGCGCAGCGATAGGCTGCGGGGGGGGGGAAGGATCTAGGTAGAACGGCCACGAGGAGACGGGATAGGGGGGGGGGGACCGTTCGACGGGCGCTATAGAAGTGGGCGTGACGGAGAGGGGCGGGTACCTAGCTGACCACGACACCGTGCGCCTAGAGAGGCCAGCATCTGTGGTCCCCGTCGTGTCATGGCCACGGCCGACGGGTGTGACCTGATCCGTATATGCCGTGTGCACAGGAGGACCTGGTAACTGTGGTCCCCGTCGTGTCATGGCCACGGCCGACGGGTGTGACCTGATCCGTACATGCCGTGTGAACAGGATGACCTGGCAACTGTGGTCCCCGTCGTGTCATGGCCACGGCCGACGGGTGTGACCTGATCCGTACATGCCGTGTGAACAGGATGACCTGGCAACTGTGGTCCCCGTCGTGTCATGGCCACGGCCGACGGGTGCGACCTGATCCGTACATGCCGTGTGAACAGGATGACCTGGTAACTGTGGTCCCCGTCGTGTCATGGCCACGGCCGACGGGTGTGACCTGATCCGTATATGCCGTGTGCACAGGAGGACCTGGCAACTGTGGTCCCCGTCGTGTCATGGCCACGGCCGACGGGTGTGACCTGATCCGTATATGCCGTGTGAACAGGATGACCTTGCAACTGTGGTCCCCGTCGTGTCATGGCCACGGCCGACGGGTGTGACCTGATCCGTACATGCCGTGCGAACAGGATGACCTGGCAACTGTGGTCCCCGTCGTGTCATGGCCACGGCCGACGGGTGTGACCTGATCCGTATATGCCGTGTGCACAGGAGGACCTGGCAACTGTGGTCCCCGTCGTGTCATGGCCACGGCCGACGGGTGTGACCTGATCCGTATATGCCGTGTGCACAGGAGGACCGGGCAACTGTGGTCCCCGTCGTGTCATGGCCACGGCCGACGGGTGTGACCTGATCCGTACATGCCGTGTGAACAGGATGACCTGGCAACTGTGGTCCCCGTCGTGTCATGGCCACGGCCGACGGGTGTGACCTGATCCGTACATGCCGTGTGAACAGGATGACCTGGCAACTGTGGTCCCCGTCGTGTCATGGCCACGGCCGACGGGTGTGACCTGATCCGTATATGCCGTGTGCACAGGAGGACCGGGCAACTGTGGTCCCCGTCGTGTCATGGCCACGGCCGACGGGTGTGACCTGATCCGTACATGCCGTGTGCACAGGAGGACCTGGCACTCTGTGGTCCCCGTCGTGTCATGGCCACGGCCGACGGGTGTGACCTGATCCGTACATGCCGTGTGAACAGGATGACCTGGCAATGTGGTCCCCGTCGTGTCATGGCCACGGCCGACGGGTGTGACCTGATCCGTACATGCCGTGTGAACAGGATGACCTGGCAACTGTGGTCCCCGTCGTGTCATGGCCACGGCCGACGGGTGTGACCTGATCCGTACATGCCGTGTGAACAGGATGACCTGGCAACTGTGGTCCCCGTCGTGTCATGGCCACGGCCGACGGGTGTGACCTGATCCGTATGTAAACCCGTGTTTACTGAAGGTGAATCGACATAATCAAAAGTGAAGAACATTACATTGTATTTAGCTTTAGGTTACATTTTAACAGAGCCAGGAGCGCAACCTCACTCCTTGAGCTCTCGATCCAGACTCCCCGCCCACAGTCAGCCGAACACCTCCGTGATCAGCTGAATGGGCGAAAACATAGTGCACATGAGCTGCTCCGATCGTGGCATCCGCTATATAAAACATTATACTAATTGGTCAGTAAAGCCTCTAAGCATGAACAAGAGTATTTACCATTCTAATAACATGTCGTACATAATAAACACATTTAATTACATTATCTAGGACAGCTTCGAGTTCATACCTGAAGCAACAATTGAATAGCAGACGATCACGCGCAAAACCGTTGAATTAAATTCCTGTCCAGACATCATATGGTCACCGGGCTCCTCTCGCCGGTGAAACAGATAAACTTTAATCGGCGCAGCTTGCCGATTACACTTCTCCCTCCTTTGAATGAAAGGCGTGCACTTACATCTACAAACACTCATTGACACATGCGGCATCATCAGCACGCGCCACGCGACACCAAAACATCGTGGTCGCTAGGTGATGCCTAGCAGCATCCGGCTGACGTGGACTGGCAGTCAGCAACAACGAAAAACACAAACACGTCATCGCGCAGCATCGCTCACTTATCAACTAGCTAGCTGAACAGGTATGGCTAACCGTCAATGATGGCAATGGGTACCCTGGGTCCCATCCCAAACACAGGTTAACCGGACCATGCTATTTACATCCCATGCCATGATGCTCTGAACAGGCTGCTAGAGGGCTCCTACTCAAACTGAGTTTAATGACATTGACATGTCAATCAGAAACGTCCCCATGGATTGACCGAATCTAGCTCGACGCGCACACCCTCTTTCCATAAAGAGTTAAACAAATCTGTCGCACTCCGGCGCCAGGAGCCAACCGATTGTCTGCTGAGCTAGTTAAAAGGAAAATCAGGGCGACTGATTTTACGTTAATTTGAGCGCACCTCTTACCTCTTGCCTTTTGAAGCATTCATGTTAATCAGGCTATCTACAAGCCTGGAACAAAGCGATCAGGCGGTCGAGTCCGTCGCTCAGACCGTCTGGCTGGCACCGGCGGCGGTACCTCAGACCGCGGGGGTACCGGTGGACACTCGCGTGTCGGCACCGCCATCTGAACTGTGCCGGACGATTGCTCCGCAATCGCTGGCTCCTTACCTTGCACAGCAGTAGTGCCGATGATGGGCAATCGTGCCCAGGCTGTGACACCAGCCGGGCCATCCGCTAACGCACTGTCCACGGAGACCGACTCTATCTCTGCTGGCGGCGTGGTCTGAGCGCGTGTCACCGGTGACGCAGCATCAGCACCAGCCCCATCCTGACTCTCAGTGACCTCTGGCACAGGTGGGGTAACTATCGGCTCAGTTCGCGGCTTCAAACGATTATGGTGAACCAGTAATGTTTTCCTGGAGCCCGTGACCTTGATACGATAGTTCAAGTCCCCTACCCTTGCTACAATCACCGCAGCCTTCCACGGTCTCACAAACTTGTAATATTGTCCCTTAGGAACTACAGCTTTGTGCAAAAATACCAAATCTCCCTCTTTGTATTCAAACTCATTCATTCGTTTTTCGTAGAACCGTTTGTTTTTTCCATGTGAAGCGTCAGATACCTGTAGCGCATGCTTGTGTGCAATTCTCAAAGACTCGCGTAGCTTATCTACATATTCAGTGACGGTCTGAGATTTGCTCGCGACTGGAACCTGGAGCTCAGCCTCCACAGGCAGGCGCGGCTCTTTACCGAACATGAGAAAATACGGACTGTAGCCCAGCGCACTGTGCTCGAGCGATCTGTACCCCAGCATCAACAATGGGAGGTGCTCGTCCCACTGATCATGATTTGCGTCGAGATACTTCGAAAGCATGTCGAGCAGAGTCCTCATCATCCTCTCGACCTTACCGTCACCCTCTGGATGATAGGCACTTATCTTTGTTTTCTCTATGCCGAAAAGACGACACATCTCGGCAATCACCTGACCCGTGAAATTGGCGGCACAATCCGAATGGAGCTTCCTCGGGCACCCGTACCTGGAAAAGAATTCGCTCACCAAGGTGGACGCTACTGTGGTGGCCGTCATATCCTTCAGCGGGAACACCTCACACCAGCGAGTGAAGTGATCGATCACCACCAACAAATGCTTATGACCACTCGGCGTCACTGGTAGGTTAGTCAGAAAATCGATCGCTACCGTCTCGAACGGCTCGGAAGCATGCAGTTCACCCAGCGCGGCTCTCGGTCTCGGCACCGGCTGACTTCTGGATGAACACCGCTCACAGCGCTTGCAGAACTCCTTGACGTCTGACAACATTCCCACCCAGAAGAAGCGTCGGGTCACTGCAGCGTGTAACCTGTCCGGTCCGGGGTGACCGGCGGTCGGGCCGCTGTGCAGTGACATCAGCACACCGGTCACGAGAGATCGCGGAATCACCAGCTGCAGCTGAAACTCATCTCTCGCCCTCCTGCGGTACTTTCGGTACAGGACACCGTCAAGAAGGGTCAGTCTGGACCACTGCCTCAGCAGGGGACGCAAGGACCTGTCGACACTGCGGCGATGTGGACGCTGTCCCGAGGAAAGATGCTTCACGATCTCTGAAATTGTTGCGTCCTTACCTTG